ATATTATATATGTACATATTATTTATATTTTTAATTTGTATTAATATACCGTTTAACATGTAATTTTTTTATGTATTTTTTTACAAAATAAAAATAAAAATAATTTTAAATAAGATAGAAAAATTGAAATTTAAAATAAGATATAAATTTATTAAAATTTATAAGTATAAAATATATTTAATATGAATATTTTTTTAATAAAAATAAATAAAAATCGAGTCATGCGGTTCAACTAGTGACCCACCAGTTCAACCTTTGACCCACTAACCCAGTACCTTAACCGGTTCGATGACCGGTCCGATTTTTAAAACTATGGTTTATTCCCTCGTAACCAGAGAGGTTTTCCCGGTTGGCACGATAGCTTATCCGTTAAACAGACTAAAAAAAGTAAAATAAATAAAATAAAATTCTTTAGATGATTTGCAAGTTGCGGTGTGGGTTCATTCTTCATTGCCAGTTAATTACTTGATATATACAAATATATATTATATTGATAATTCCTCCGTCTAGAGTGTTCCATTCTATATTCCAACACCATTTGCAAACTATTTTAGTCCACAAATTCAACCTCTTTCTCATTCCTTTCTCTTCCATTCTTCAGCTACCAATTCTCTCTCACCCTCCCTTCGTTACCTTCCTCTCTCCCAATCCCTTATTTGCTTTGCTCTCTTTTTCCTTCGTCCAGGGCTTGTTCCGGAATCAACGTTAAAAGTAAATAATGACTCATATCCTTTGTTTTTCATCATTAATGTTTTTTATGTATATATATATATATATATATATTTTTTTTTTTTTTTTAATTAATTCGTTATGGGTAATTTTTTGGTCATGTATCGCATAAATAACTTTGTGCGATGGTTTTACTAATTTTACGGGTTTAATTACAAAAATTGGGAAATTTTGAATGCTTAATTGCAAATTCTTTTAGTGTAGGGTCTAGTTAATTAATTAATTATTTTTAAAATTGGACTTTATTTCATCGGTTTTATTGTTTTTATTATTTGGGGTGTGTTTGGGTTTTGGTTGTTTGTGTTTGTGATGTGGAATCCGTTGTTTTGACTTAACTGAAGCGAACGCGGTAACCAGAGGGACCGAGATCGTGAAAGGGCTCAGGCAAGAGCTGGTGGGAAAACTAAGCAGCCTAAGAATGATGGGTTAACCCCTGAACAGAGAAGAGAAAGGTATTTTTTTTTTTTTTTTTGAGTTAATCATCTGTAAACTGTGGGTGTAAAATTTTTTTATACTGGCAATTAATCATATTTTTTAAGAGTTAATTACTTATATACTGGCAGTGTAAAGTTTTTTTACACTGGTAACTAATCATATTTTTTAAAATTGCTTATTTTATTATTATTTCATTAAATAAGCAACTAACATGACAATTTTAAAAGATATAATAGGTTGTTAGTATAAAAAAACTTTACATTAACAGTATATAGATGATTAACTTATTTTTTAATAGTACTATAATGAAATAATAATAAAATCAGTAACTTTAAAAGATATATTGGTCGCCCGATGGATAGATGATTAATTTTTTTTTTTTTTACAACTTTTTTAGTTTTTGCTTTCTTCTTTTGGTGATCTCGTACTTAATGTTTTGAAATTCGGTTGCCTTGTAATTACGAAATTGATAAAATTACCGGTAATTGCCGTTGCTGGTTATGATGCTGCAACTGTGGCTGGGGTGTGGTTGCAGCTGCAATCAATTGTTATCAAAATTTCTAAAATTACCGGGAAATGCCGGTTGTGTAGCTGTAATTGTGGTCCCAACCCCACATGGTTGCAACTACAATCATACCAAAAATTGTTATTTCCTCGGTTTTCATAATGATTATAGTTTTAATATTTAATAAATGTCTTAAAATGAATGATATTTTTATTTTTTAATATAATATTAATTATTATCCATCACAATTAAAAATAATGTATTGAAAGTGAAGTATTTTAGTAAAATTGTATTAAAAAATTTGACATTATTTTTTTATTATCACTTTTTTAAAACTAATAATTTATTAATTTTTTTTATTTTTATTTTTGATAATTAATGTGTATTTATTGAATAATATGTTTATTTATTTTTTAATGTACCTATTTTTTCTCCAACCACTTAAAGGGTATAACAGGAAAATAAGTAATAAATATTTTAAAAAATTAAAATGTCAATCATTTTCTTAATTCTTGTACATAACCTTAAACGTCAAATAAAAAAAAAAAAACAGAGAGAGTATATGTATAGAAACTTTAAACTGCGGTCATTGTGAGATGGAGGTAAAAGTTCCTAGCAAAAGCCATTTGTGCAGCTACAGTTGTAGTTGTGATGTGGTTGCAGCTTTATTTGTTTTTGTGGTGTGATCGCAGTTGCAATTGCGGTGGTGACAGGGTTGTGGAAACCTTTTCAAATGCTGTAATATTGTGGAAAGCAGTTTGAAGCCTTGCTCATGATAGTAATTTTTTTTTTGTATTCCGTGTGTGCAGGGATGCAAAAGCATTACAGGAAAAAGCTGCAAAGAAAGCAGCTCAGGGTGCTGGAGGGAACAACGCAGGTGGTGGTGGAGGCAAAAAATAGGCAAGAATCATTGACTTGGGGAAGGGGAAGGGAGTGTAGACATGGGAAATAATTGTATTGCTTATTATGAAATGGGTTTTTGGTTAGAGTCATCTGCTTGTCATTTCAGACAAATGAATTGAATAACTTCTGTTTTGCCTGGAGGGTATTCTTGTTGGCTTCTGAACCTCTGACTTTTGTATAATTTGGAATGCAATTTGAATGTAGCATGATGTAATGATCTATTGTTTTCTTTCTGATTTCATTGTCTTTGAATTGGAGCAGATCTAACTGTCGTGCAAGTTGATTAATTTTTCAAAGGCTCCAAAATGGGTAGAGGCCTGATAGATGCTGCAAGTATAAATGGATAGTTAGTTAGATCCGGTAGTTGGTTAGAGAAGGGAAATAATATGTATCATAGTACTTGATAGTGTAGTATTGTCGTGTGGTGGCCCTGGGTCGCCACTAGTTTTGAATAGTGCTGGGTTTCTTTATAGATCGTGGCCAAAATTGTAGCTGGTGTTGCCATCATAACAAGTTAGCAACGCTATTAAGCTTCTCAAAATGTCACTTTTACCCTCAAAACCATTTTGAATTAGGCTTGTTTTTGGTGACGGAGTTGAGATTTTATTCCCTGTTCAAAACATAAGAAAATCAGTTGTCAATAGTGCCAAATTGCAGCAATAATGCCAAATCATGTGCGTAGCAGAGCATGCTACAAAAATCGGATAGTGTCACAGATTCCAGCTGCTACAGAAATTGATCAGTGTCACAGTTTGAACTAGTGGCTATTGCGGCTGGAGCAGGTGCTACTGGAGTGGGTCACAAAAAACTTATTTTAACCATGGACCAACATTGCTTAGACCTATTTTAGGGGGTCGAGTTGTGATTATTCCCCTTGATTTGAATTAGAAATGGCCCTAGTTTCTCAGTCACATGTATGAAGTAGCACCCACTGTTTACCTTCTAGACGAACATTTAGAATCTGTTTGAATATAAATTTCAAAAGTGTTTCAAGAGTTTTTCTATTTAAAATAAAGAATATTTTTTATTAAAAAATACTCTCAGAAGCACTTGTAGCTTGTATCTACACAGACTCTCAGCATTATCTGGCCAGCTGAGTCTGACGGTTTTTTGTTCATTGCCAACGTATGCAACATCTGTTTACTTCTTTGGCCTCTGGCAAACCTGTCACATACAGTCCTACTGTGTTGCCTCTGCTTCCTTGCTCTGTCTTCCCCTGTGATGTTCTTTCTTTTAATATCTCTAAAACAAGTCTTTCATCTCACTTTTTTGTCCTCTCTTGTAAGATTTACCCTTTATTTATTTTTGTTCTAATTGGTTAGAATACTTCCATCTTGCCACCTGCTATCCCGTATTGGCCCCATGATAGCATTTTCAAGGTCGCTGTTTTGCACCTTTATATGGGATTGACGACTATTGGTGTAAAATTTCATTTTTTTATTTTAATTTGCTTTGCTACCCTCTCTGTTGTGCAATATAGCCAAACAACCCACCTTTTTCGCTGTTCCATGCAACCCAGCCACTGTTATCCGGCAGGATTTACAGAAACACCCACGCTGTGTAACATCAATCCTTATCTGTTCTGAACTTGAAAGCCACACCCTTCTCTATTTCTGTGCAACATTTTGATTTCTTAAGACACAAGCTATGGTTCTGAGTGTCCTGAAGATATGTTTATGCTTGGGGAATAAATTCTATTCAATGTTTAAGATATGTTTATGCTTAGGGAATAAATTATATTCACTGTTTAAGATATTGTCTTGGAAATTTTGAATGCTCAGTTGTAACAATGATTTTGGAATTCTGATTACTAAATATGAAATATAAATGTGTCTAATTTTTTGGGGAATTTTAAGTTTGTGAGCATTTTTGTATGTTTAATATCATTTTTTTATGTCTATGATAGCAGAAATAATGAGAATGTTGAAATGGATGTGTTGCTACACAAGAAAGGACAAGATACGAAATGATTATATACAAGGAGTTATTGGTGTGATGTTGATTGAGGAGAAGATGAAAGAAATTTGGTTAAGGTAATTTGAACCTACACAAAGAATGCCACTAAGCACCAGTGAGAAAGGTAGATTGCATGATATTTGGTCTTATGTTAAGTAAGGGAAAAGAGAGACCAAGAAAAACATTCACGCAAGTTGTTAAGAGAGATCTGATGGTGGATAATATTTCTAAAGTTTTGGTCTTTAACTGAGTTGAACATCGAGTGATCCATGTAGCCAATCTCACCTAGTATGATAAGACTTTTGTTGTTGTAATATAATTTTTTGTTTGATACTTATAATTTCACTGTAGTGGTCATCTTACTATTTGCTATCTTGCAATAGCATTTTCAGGACTCACTATTTATGTGTCACTATCCGAGATTGTATCTTCATTTTCACATCTTATACAGATAAACAAAATGGCTATTGTTAATAAACTTGCCATTTTATTTTGTGTATACACCATGTCTTTTCTATCAATGTCTTAGAAGAGTCAGTGCCTTGTGGTGCCTTTTTGGTAGAGCTGTCAAAATGGGTTTGGCCCGGTGAGCTAACCTGGCTCACCACGGGCTGAAGTCGGGTTGGGTTAAAAAAAATTTAAAAATTTGAATGCGGGTCAAATTTGAACCTGGCTCACTAACAACCCGGCTCACCCAGGTTGAACCCATGATGAGTCGGGTTGGCCCACCAACCCGTGATTAAATTTTTTTTTTGAAAAAATACAATAATTATTGGGTCATGGTGCACTCTAACATGAGACAATAATAATTTATTGTTGGATTGTGATTTGTAATTTTTATGATTTTGGATTGTATTTGAAGTTTAAGATGATTTTGGATTATATTTGAAGTTTAAGATGATTTTGGATTATATTTATCTATTTGAGATTATTTAGATTTGATTTGATTGTATTTAAAATTATCATTTAATGTTTGGGATGAATGATTCATTTATGGGTGTCTTAATTAAGAATCTCAGATTTTTAGAATAAGTTTAAATTTTTAGGCTTTAGTTGTATATTAAGGAAAAAAAAATAAAAAAATTTATTTTTTTTTAAAGGTGAGCCAACCCGTTTAACCTACCAACCCGTGGTGGGTCGGGGCAGGCTTGATTTTTTTGAGCTCACTGATAAATGAGCCGGGTTGGGTTGGCCCACCAAATGACCAACTCGTGATGGGCTGGACCGTGCCGGGCTGGGTAGCCCGTTTTGACAGCTCTACTTTTTGGTTTAGGATAGATGTCATTAGCTTTTTATCAACGACAACAAAATATCTACGAAGCCCTGAATAACTAGGTGTAACCATAGTTTTAAAAACCGGACCGGTCATCGAACCGGTTAAGGTACTGGGTCAGTGGGTCAAAGGTTGAACCGGTGGGTCACTAGTTGAACCGCATGACTCGATTTTTATTAAAAAATATTTATATTAAATATATTTTATACTTATAAATTTTAATAAATTCATATCTTATTTTAAATTTCAATTTTTCTATCTTATTTAAAATTATTTTTATTTTGTAAACAAATACATAAAAAAAATTACATGTTAAACGGTATATTAATACAAATTAAAAATATAAATAATATGTACATATATAATATGCTTGCAATTAATATCACAAAATAATATATGTAATATTTACATAGATATTGCATTATTAAATATATAATTTAAAATTAATAATATACTATAAAAGTTATTTAAGTTGTATATATTGCAAACAAATATATTAGAACAAGTAGTCATTGTTATATTTAATAAGACTCCTTGCTTTTTCATTAAGAGATTCAATTTTCATTATTATTTTTGTGATTTATGGTCCCTTAAAAAAATTTAAAAAAAAATAAGAAAAAAAAGTGGTTGAACCGGTTTGACTCACCGGTTCATCGGTTGAACCGGAAAATTGACCGGTTCAATCCGGTTTGAAACGGGTCGACTGCATAACCGATCCAATTTCAGATTCGAACCGGCTAGACTACCGGTTCCCGGTCCAACCGGTCCGACCGGCCGGGTCGGTCCGGGTTTTAAAACACTGGGTGTAACACTTATTGGGGGGCTCTTGGCAGCAACTTAATGTCATGCTATTTGTTCAAGATGATATTTTCTTGGTTTAAATTTGTTTCTAGTTCTTGAAATATGAGATAGATTCTTTTTTCTCAAATTTAAAATTAATTTTTTAGTTTATTTTGAAAAAAAAAATAAATCTATCTAATCGAATGTTATTAGTGAATCTGTCAAATAAATATTTATTGAATATATTATATAAAATTCACTTACTAGTGTTCTTGGCGATAAAAATATTATATTAAACTTAATTGATGTTGTATAATTATCTTAATATATTGTTAGTTATGTTAATGGTGACTCTAAGAGACTAAAATATTTATTTTTAAAATTATAAGAATTAAAAAGATTATTTTTAAATTTAAAGATTAAAAATAAATTTATCTTAAATTTAACAAACAACAACCTATTTAAGCCTATTTTTTTATTGTGAATTTTATACTTGACTATGAATTTATGTGGAAAATTGATGCAAATTAGTCTAATATTTTCGTACATTCTATCTTTAAAGTTAGTTGTGTGCTTTTATGTTGCCTCTTGCCTCAACAAGGTATAAAATTTGGTTCTTTTCACCTTTGACTACCTATTATGCAATTAGATATTATCGCAAAGCAAATCATTATAACCAATATTGTTTAATTTTTACTAGCTTACAAATACTGCTCTCGATATGAATCCACTGGTCAATAAGCACTTATAAGAGAATAAACACAACACTAAAATGAATCAAATATCTCCCGAGTTAAATCATGTTATGAACCTTTTTTTTTTTTTTTGGAGTAGATGAGAACTTCTAAAAGAGTGAGACGCACAAGTTGATTTTAATTTATAAGAGAAGTTTTATTCTCTTTACATTTTTTGTTTTCTTCTCTAATAAGTGTTTATCGACAATTTTATCTAAACTGGATCCATATCTTTTTGTATGCTGTTTGTCTGTCAACTTGGCCTCTGCATAAATTAGGTACATAGGTTTGCTTGATCTGATAAATAGTTTACTAGTGACTGCATATAACATAAGTATGATTTTGAAGTAGATATAATGAAATAAATGTTTCTAGTTTTTCTAGTTATAATTTCCAGGTTCACTTGATATGCTTCATAAAGTGTTTATATTTAATAATGTTGGAACACAGTAAACAAAGCATGCATATACAAATTGTTTTTCTGGACATTTATCTAGACTAACTATTATATAAATTAGGTTCACCAGCTTTCTTGGTGTGATTAATTTGATATTAGGTTGATAGTATACTATGTTATGTGATTTACTAATGAATATGCCTAATTGCTCTTGATTAGCATTTTGAAGTGAAGTGTTATGGCAGATCTATAATAGTGTGTTTGGATGAGGAGTTTTACAAATTCAAGGAATTTTAAATTTTTTGTATTTGAATTATTTTGATTTCAATTTCTATCATTCTTAAAATATTTTGTTTGGATGAGTCAATTCAAATTTTTTAAATTTTAAATTATTGTTGAATATGATAATTTAATTGCATCATAGTAAAATTGATTTTAAAAATATATTTATATGTTGAAATTTTTAAATTAAATTTTATAAAAATAAATATTAATTCATTTTTAAATATTTTATAATTTTAAAAATTAATATTAGATAATATTTAATAATTTTAAAATTAATATAAGATAATATTTAATAATTTTAAAAATATTTTTGAATATCTAATAATTAAAAGAATGAAGAGATAAGATAAAATATATAGGTGAAATAAGAAAAACAAATATGAAAAATTTCAAATTCTTCCATTTTTAAGAGAATTTGAAATTCTACTATTTTAAAGAATTTCACAAATACTTAAATTTTAAATTCTTTGTAAATTCCTCATCCAAACAAAACATTTCACCTTAAAAAATTTGAAAATTTTCAAATAAATGAATTACCCTATATAAATTCCTCACTCAAACATACCATAAGCCTTTTTGTGTCTGTTATTAAAGGATCAGATTCCTATTGGGTTGTTTTATACATTCAGGAAGCAATTGATTATTTAAGAATTTGAGGAAGTTCTACGTCAATGTTTTGTGCTTTAACAGTACATTTGATACACACTAGAGTACACTACAAGAGAAACTAGACAAGAATAATAGATAAGTTACATGACAACTTTTTGTTCTATACCTTATTAGATGATGAAAAATGAACAACACATAATATAATATAAAATTTAATAAAAGTGTCTTTTTTTTAAAGTCAGAATGTGCATCACTTTTTCTCCCCTAGCAAAGACAATCCCACACCACCACTACACTGCACAATGTTGATCCTTACTAAACACTTAATTTATTGTATTATACCATACTATTAACTATTATTTTTTCTATTTATAATAATATTTGTTGAAAAATTTCACTTTTTTTAGTTAATTATGTAGTAAATAGATAAAGGATGTGAAAAAGAAAATCTATGCAAATAAACGTCAAAAAAGATAAAAAAAATGGTTGAAGTATTATGCATAGTTGTGTTTATTGATGACATAATACTTATCACAAGAGTAATGTCAAGGAGAATGTAAGAGAAGTGGACTCGTTGTAAAATTAGAAGGCCTAAGCTCCTTTTGAGCTATGTTAATTACTTATTCTATTTTCTCTTTGTAAATATTTTTCTTGTAAACATTTTTCCTTATTTTGACTTTATATTTATGGTCAAGTAGCGTAGGAATTTATGTTTTTGTATTTTTATTTTAGAAATGTAAATAGTATTTAGGAGGAGTGTAACTAGAAAGGCTAGTTGAACTTAATAGGCTTAAAAGGCCTAAGAGCACCATATCTTTGTGCATGTGGGACATCCACTTTTAATGCAAGTGTGTTGGACTTCCAACATGGAGGAGACAAGGATGTCTTCTTAGCCATTCAAAAGTCAACATGTCACATGACCTTGTCTAGTCACACTTTACATACTATACCAAGTGGTAACCTCCCATTGGCAAATATTGAAGTTGTAATTGAGGCTATCCCATTGAGTACAGATGCTTCCCTGGTGTAGCCTGATGTAAAAGCACTAGAGGATTTTGTATCTACTGTACCTCGAGTGAAGAGGTTGATGTAGTTAGCATTGACTATAAGGAAGATACTGAGCATGATCATCTGGCAAAGGAGGCCACGACTGATGAGGAGACTTGGGAGCCCCTTACCACAAGGCGACCTCCCTACTACAACATGAATGAGTACCTTCAAATGTGCTACAGGGATGAAAAAACCATCATCATCCATCCTTCTTGCAAACAAAGCTCCGACCTCCTTATATGAATGCACCACCACGTGTGGATGCTCAGACACTCAAACTGATCGGCCAACAATGTCGTGAACTTGAATACACTTTCCATTCAAAGGTTGTTTTGGAATTGAGCTATAAGGGAACCCCTCATAAGCTACAA